TGCTCCCATCCCATTCCTTTCTTACCATGCATATATAAGGATGAGCAAAACCCTTCTAAAAGGATTCAGTGCAACTCAGATCCAAGGACAACAAACAAAAACCCCTCAGAAATCCTCAGTTCCCATGTCCTCACCACTCCCAGCCCCTTCAGCTCCTACCAATTTGCTCTGATCCCCAAAACTCCTCGTGCCATGCAGAGAACCCCCCGTGGAAAGGAGTCCCTCACCTTTCCACTCGCTGTTGGGGTCTGTAGCAAAGGTGTAGTAGAGGGGCCCCACGATCTCATTCATGCCCTGGACGTAGGCTATGCCAGGATTTAGCTTGGCATAGATGAACAGGATCCTCTCCACCACCTCCCAGTGAGCTTCGCAGCCGTTGGGCAGCACCTCGTACTCGCTCAGAGAACTGGGGGTGGATTTAAGAGGGGAGCTCACCTGGAAAACAAGGCCAAAAGCACAGCTGGATCAGGACAGCCAGCAGGCACAGGTCACTGAGTACATGTGCCAAGCTTGGCTTTAAACACACACAGGCCCCCAGAGGATTTGGGCAGTTTGTACCAAGAGAAAGGGGAAGCACACGGGCAGTGGAGTCCCAGTACTGCTGTCCCTGAGGAATGAATCAGCCTGTGCAGCAGTTTCCCTGAATCATTGCACCACGTGATCCCACACAGCAAGGAACCACAGCAGTTCTACTCTGGCAGTAGTATGAGGGAAGGTATTGATCTGTTGGGGCAGAAACCACCTTCCCCAACAGCACATGTGCTGTGACACTTGGGAAAGAGGGAAGGGACAACCCACATTGCAGCAGATACCCAGCTCTTCTCCTAATTGCAGCTTTCTGAGCTCCAGTGCTCAGTGACTACATAAACTCACGATAAATTCACGGTAAATTAACTCTTCAGTGTTTTGTTTCTACACAGGAGGGCACATGTCACCTTGTGACTCCAAAAACCAACCCTTAAAATTAAACACAGCTCTAAGTCCCTGCTGTCCGTCAGGCACATCGACCGGTTCTACCACATGCTCAGTATCTGCTGGGTTATTTCCTTAATGTCACTGCACAAGCAGAAAGAGAGAACAGCTGAAGGAACACCCTTCCCCTTCCTGCCCCAGGACAGCCCCAGGCTCACGTTGGTGACCCCACTGCGGTTCCGCGCCACTGTCTGCGACTTGAGCGTGGTCTGTTCCACCCGCCGGCGCAGCGTCTCGAACTCGTTCTGGGGGTCCAGGATCAGGAGGCAGGGATAGTCCGTGGGGCGCTGGAAAAACGCCATGTCGGGGTACAGCCTCCTGGGATGCACACAGAAGGAAGTCAGGCACAGGGAGGAAGGACGTGCCCCACGCCTGGTTTAATATTAAACTCGGTTTTCAAAGTGCGCTGCGTTACCAGAACCCCTGGGGATCAGAAACTCGTGCCCCACGCACCTGACATCTTTGTCTATCTGCAGAAGCACCTCGTTATCCTTGAAGTAGGTGTTCCATCGACTGTCTGGATTGGGATTGAGGGGCTGAAGGGAGAAACAACAGGAACAGAACAGGAGTGTTTCCCAGGTATCAAAATCCTTTTTTGCTGTCCCTCTGCCACAAAGCACCAGCACAGTCCTAGCATGTCAGAGTCATGTTTTTTTTCCTCGTATTTTCAATGCTTTTTCCACCTGTCTCCATGGTTTTGTTCCCAGGTATCCTGTCTCATGTCAATGAGATTCCTGATTGCAGCTCCAACCCTGTACAATGGAGATGGGTTTTGGACTTGGGGTAAGAATTACCCACCCACCCAGCACTTTGGTGTTCTGGTTACGAGCTACAAGTATCCCCTTCTATCTCAGCTCTGAGAAGGCTGATTAAGCACCACCCCTGTGCCCAGGAAAAAGGAAATACACATTCCATGAACAACCTGTCCTGTATCTGACCAGTTTCTTAACGTGATAAACTTAACTCCCCCTCCCCACACCAAGATCCACACGAAGTTAACATCTAACCAAGACAACAAAAGCAACATTCCAAGGGATTCAAAGATCACTGTGACCTGGCTGTGTGGTTTTGCAGACACACCAGTTTTACACCACCAAGGCTCCAGGGAGCAGAAGGGCAGGTCACTGAGAGGAGTGAACGTTCAGGGTGGTCATGGAGGCAGCTGGATCATTTTACAGTCTCTTCTGATCGGTTACTCCATCCCCTCCTCCCACATAAACACTCCTAACAGCGCTTGCAGAGAAGCAAAAAGCCACAGGATGGAGGAAATAGTCCATTTAAAAAAAAAAAAAAGCCAGCAGCACTACTAGAATAAGTGAGTCTCCTGCCTTCCACCACACAGCCCAGCTTGACTTTCCTGCCTCTTTTCTGTCCTCTGCTCGGATTAACCTGTTCTGAGGCCACCCAAGGACCTGACTTCCCAGGAGAGCCTCTCTTTGCCTCTTGGGAGCCTCTCCCTTTCCCTGGGAGACCCCCAGCCTGGGCAGGGAGCCTGAAACTGGGGGAGCACAGCTGGAAACAGCCCTTTCCAGAGCTATTGGTGCTTTGCCAGTAATTTACTCCGAAGGCTCCCAAGACACAAGTGCTGGCACCTGGGAACTTTCTCTCCTGCTGGCACCGGGAACAACAGCGGGAACAGAGCCAGGAGCAGCCCAGGGGTCCAGACTCCGGAACAACAGCTGAGAGCTGTGAGGAATTTTCTGCAGCACGACAGCTTAACAACACTCACGTGATCTTCTAAGGTCACGTCTTCCCTTGAAACACCCAGGTTGGCTTTGGCAATCCCAGGCTGGATAATCATCTCCTTCAGGAACTGGGAATAGAGATCCCTTAAGGAAGAGAAGAGGAATTTGTGATGTGGAAGATAAGGTGAAGGTGAGCTCACAGACAGATCTCTCTGTCCCATCCTGCTCTTTCTCCTCAGCTGAGTTCAGCTGAAGGGGTCAATCCACCAGGCAGCTGAGAGAACAGCACATTCCACACAGGAACAATCCGTTTTACGAAGGTACTTAATTATTTAAGGACTATTCTCCTTCTCTGCAGGCATCATTAAGAATAAAGGGACAAATTACTAATGTCCTCACCTCTGTTTCTTCAGCAAAGAGCTCCATAAGGCTTTCTCTAAAGGGAGGTAGTTCAGGAGTATCTGCACAGGGGACAGAGGCACATGAATTAGTGTTAAATGAGCTGTTACACCTGTAGGATGAGCCAACCAAACACAGGGCTGAGAAGTGGCTCTCTGAAAACACTGGGAGCTTTCTCCAGAAAGCCACGCACTTTGCCAGGAGTATTTCAGGGACTGGTTCCCAACACAGACCTATTTGCAGGACTGATCAATAGCCAACCCAACCAAAATGCTCTCCCAGCTTAAAACTGAGGCTCTGCTCACATGCAAAGTGCTGATCTCCCCGAATTCCTGCTGACTTTGAGTGGCTTTTAAAGCTCTGGATCGCCTGATTGTTTGTTTACGATTTCAAGCACCCAAAAAACCACCACGTGCCTTTCACCAACCCCAAGAAACAAAAGCACCCTTGGCAAAACCCACCTTCCAGCAGAGGCAGCGCAGCCCACCATCGAAGGGGATTCCTGCGGACACCAGGCAGAGAGACAGCCACGTTAGCCCGTCCCGGGGGCGCTTCTGCCCCCGAGGCTTCGCCAGGGGCGCTGCCCGGGGTTATCCAGGTGTGTCCGCGGGGAGACCGCACCACCCCGGGGTTATCCAGGTGTGTCCGCGGGGAGACCGCACCACCCCGGGGTTATCCAGGTGTGTCCGCGGGGAGACCGCACCACCCCGGGGTTATCCAGGTGTGTCCGCGGGGAGACCGCACCACCCCGGGGTTATCCAGGTGTGTCCGCGGGAGACCACCACCGGGGTTATCCAGGTGTGTCCGCGGGGAGACCGCACCACCCCGGGGTTATCCAGGTGTGTCCACGGGGAGACCGCACCACCCCGGGGCCGCCGCCGAGCCCCAGCCCCCCGCCCAGCCCTCCCCGGGGGCACTCACCGCTGAAGCAGAGCTCGCGGAGCTTGGCCAGGGCCACCGTGGGTTCGCCGAGCACCTCCTGGAAGTCCGCGATCCTGAGGGGAGCGGAGCCGCGCGCGTCACTGCGGGCTGCGATGGGCACGGCCAGAGCCCCCAGAGACCCCGACCCCCCAGAGCCGCGACTTCCCAGAGCCTCCCCCAGCAGGGAAGGGAGGGGAGGAAGCCCAGCCCCGGCACGGACACGGACAGGGACACCGACACCGACCTGCTCTGGTGCAGCCGCGACATGGCGGTCCCGGGGCACCCTCCCCGCGCGCTGCAAAAAGGCTCCGGCTGGAAACGGGGCCCGGGGGTGTAACGGGACCGGCCCCGCCCGCGACCCCGCCCCGGGGGCCCACAGGGAGCGAGGCCCCGCCCACAACGCGCTAAGCCCCGCCCCGCCCGCCTCAGGGCGCCTTTGCTGAGCGCTGACCCCGCCCCTCGGAGTGGGCGTGACCACAATCCCCGCCTCATCCACGCCCCGCCCACTCAGCACCGAGCCCCGCCTGCTCCCCGCCTTCAGCCCCTCCCTGTGCGCTAAACCCCGCTCCATCTCCTCTAAGCCCCGCCCACGCCCAGGCCCTTCTCGGCTCCCCAAGCCCAGCCCCCGGTGTGGGTGTGGCTCCAAGCCCCGCCTCCCCCCCCTCAGGGCGCTCCCGGGGCCCCGTGAGCTCGGTCCCGTGTCCCCGCACCCGCCGGGGCTGGGGGACACCCCCACAGGTACCGAGCGCCAGCAGGGCCTGCCGGTCCCCGCCAAGCACTGAGGGACCCCCGGGGCGGTTGCGCTCCGGGCCGGTGCCGATGTGAGCCGTGAGCGCGGCGCGCGGCAATGGCGCCCCTCAGTGAGGGGGGCGCGATGGGACCCTCAGCGGGAACCCCCGGGCCCGGCCCCGGGGAGGCCCCGCCCCGCCCCGTGCAGTGACGCCAGCGCCTTTGGCAGCGTGACGTCACGGCCGCGTGACGTCACGGCGTCGCTGCCGTCCCCGGCGGGTCCCCCCGCGGCGCGGGCGTTCCGGCCGGGCCGGCGTTTCCGGGGGAGGCGGCGGCGCTTCCGGCGCGGCGGGAGGAAGTGACGGCGGGTTTGTTGACAGCGGAGGCCGCACGGGGGGAGCGGGGCCGAGCAGGACGCGGAGCCCGCCCCGGGCAGCGGCACCAGCCCCCCATGGCGCCAGGTGAGTGCCGCCCGGACCCGGCCCGGCCCGGCCCGCGGCCACCGGGCCCGCCCGCCCGGCCGGGGGGAGGATCCGCCGCCCCCGCAGCACCGCGCGGAGCCCCCCGGCGCTGCCCCGTCCCCTCCCCGGGACTGCCGGGCCCCGGCGGGCAGCGCCCCGGGCCGCGGAGGCAGCGCCGGCGCAGCCCCCGAGGTGACCTCTGTGTCTTGCCCCGTGTCGGGGGCTCGGCAGGGCTCGGGCTCGGGGCCAGCCCTACCCGCGGCTGCTGCGAGCGCTCGCAGGGCTGTCAGAGCCCATCGCGGGCCGGCGGAGCCCCCGTGCCCAGGGAGCCGTGAGCGGGGGCTCCCGGGTGTCCCCTTGGGAAGGTGACTTAGGGGGTGGAAATCCATGATGCAATTCAGGGAGCCGAAGGAACATCTTTGCTGCGGGCAGATACAAAGATCAACGCGTTCCCCGAGCTGTCTCATTTACGGTGTCGGTCGTGGCAGGCTGACAAGTTCGGGAATTGCAGGCTGTGCTGGGTTACAGAACAGTTCGATCTCCTCCTGCTTCTCTTCCCGCGGTGTGAGCAGGATGGGGTTTCCCCACACGAGATCCCCGGCCCGTCCATTAACACAGTCCCGGTGATTTGCAGCTGCAGGACGCCAGCGAAAGTGACAGTGCACTTTCCCCTCGCAGCGTAACCCGTGCCAAACTCTGCATTTATGTGACATTCGTTATTCTGGAGCCGCTGCAATCACTCACGTCAGTGCACAGGGTTTGCCCTCTCCTTGGACGGGTCCCTGGTGCTGGGAAAGTCAGCTTTGCCAGTTATTTCTGTAGCAGCAGCAGCAGCGTAAACGTTCTGTGGTTGGCACGGAGCCAGGGTGAGTCAGGCTTGGCTCCGGGCACTGCTTGGAGAGAGGCTGGGAGAGAGGATCGGTCTGGAGTCCAGGGGAGAGGATCTTGGCACCGGCAGCCCCAGGAGTGCCAGGGGCTCACGTGCCAGGGCAGCCTGGGACGCTGTCACCGTTCAGGTGCAGCCTGCAGATAGGCAGTGTTTGCAGAGACTGCTGGTGGGGTGAGTGGAGCTGCCTGTGCTGGGGCTGCTTTTGGGCCTGTGGATGGTGGGAGGGGGCTGTGTGCCCATGGAAATGGCTTTTGTGTGCCCATGGAAATGGCTTTTGTGTGCCCATGGAAGTGGCTTTTGTGTGCCTGCTCCTGCAGCTCTGAGGGACTCGATTCCTTCATGCACTGAGATGGAGGCAAATCTGTCAGAGAAATAAGTATTGGCACTGTAGTTCTGCTCACTTTGCAGTTGGTGCTCTTGAATTTTCAGCACCTTTCACTTGTCTGTCTTTGATTCTTCCAAAGCCCATTGTTGCCCATCCTTGGAAGGCGCTGGTGGCTGTCACCGGGCAGCTTGATCCTGTGGAAAGCTGCTTGAGGATAACAATCAGCCAAATGTTAGTCATTTATCAGCATCTCCCGTTTGTCTCTTTGTATCACACCCCAGGGTTATAACTGGAGACAATATTGATCAGGGCAGCTGCCCACGTGTCACCTCTTGGGTCCAAGTGAGGAGGGAGAGCCCAGCTTGTGTCATGTCCTGGACTAAAGGTCACAGCAGCTGCTCAGATATCCATAATAAATCATGAGGATGAAAGCTTTTCTTTGGTCTTATTTCCCTGGGACAGCTTAACCACTCCTCTTTCTGTCGAGCTTCTGTCTGGGATTGTGTCGGTGGATCACGGGGAGCTCAGAAGTTAAAGGGCAGCTGATTTCTCCTGGGCTGGGATCAACCAGCTGCATTGTGCTGGTCTCAGCAGAGAGGGAGAGGCTGGGCAGAGCCACAGGAAGGCAGTCCTTGCCCTCTGGTGCTCTGAGCTGCTTGGACAAGTCCCAAGCACTGGCCGTTTCCAGCTGCACGTGACAATGGATTGTCAATGGGAATTTGTTTTCGAGTTCTCTGGCCGTCGGTAGTAAACAGTGGAAGAACACTGGCTGCAGGGACCTCCTGTCTGATGGCACGGGGGAACTGGTAGGGACAGCAGAACGTGCTTCCCGACTGGTTCGGATCTTCCTGTTGATCTTGCCTTTCTGGAAAGATTCTCTCAGGCTCGAGGCAAAATCCACGAGAGGGACTCGCTCTGGAGGTGAGGCTGATTCATCTGCAAAGCAGGGACAGGGCAGCTGCCTCCCACCTGCATCCCCCTGGCCAGGGCCTCCCAGCCAGGGAGGAGATACTCTGCACTCAGTGGCCCCTGTCAGCATTGACCTCTCTCCTGATTTGGCTACAGAGGAGAGAGCTGTGCATGATGGAGCTCCTTGTGATTGAAAACTGCAGCCCCTCCATCTTCATGCACCTCAGAGGTCTCTGAGCTGTCACGGCACTATTGAGAAGTCAAAGTTTTGTGTCCCTGTGACCCCAGCTCAAGGCTTGGTGACACAGAAGAGTAGGTTACGCCTTTAACATCCTGAGTGGGGAGAGTTTAAAGTACAATTTTTGTGATTGCTGAGGTTTGGGGTCTGTTTTTTTTGCTTGGAGAGGTTTTATCTTTCTGAGCCAGAACCTGAGATCCCCCCCTGGAAAACCTGCTAAACGTTGTAGGTCAGAACACACAGAAGGAATTAATGAAAGGCAGGAGGAAGTTAAAAAAGAGGTTTGAGTTCCAACTTGTGCTGCCTTCATGTTTGCATGGAAATGCCTCCTGCAGGACAGGGAGGGATCAGAGGGAGCCTGGAAAGGGACTTAAACTCTTCTGTCTTGTACTGCTACTGCAGGAGTGCAGGAAAGGGAGAGCAGCAGAGGCTTTAGGGAGACACAGAGAAGTGTCCTGATCTTTGCAGCTGCAGCATAAAGATCAGAAATGCAATATGGGCAAGGACATTTTGCAACAACTTCCCCAGCAGTGGCTGCTCAGTTGGGGCACAGAGAACAGCAACTGCCTCCACAGTGCTGGTGTTCTTGCTGCCAGCAGGGACAGACTGATGGGTAAGACACAGGTTTGACGTCAGAAATAAACATTTCAACAATATTTTTGTGCCTGGAGGTGTTTAGAGAAGTTCACGTTAGGATTGCTTCTAGCCTGATGTGACCCTTTGAAAGTGAAATGTCATTGCTGGTGTTCAAGTTAAGATTTGTGCTAAACACCTCAGGGCTTCAGTGAGCAAATCATGGTACCAGAGCTGTCAGATTTTGTCAAACAAGAAAACAGACTGGGATATCTTCCCCCAGTGGAGGTGCCCAGCACGTGCATAAACGTTGCCTTACACTGCACTCAGAGGGATCCCAGACCAGTCCATGTGTTTCCCTCTGGCTTCTGATCCACTTCACAGTCTAGATCAAGGACTTTCACGAAGCTTCTGCCTTGGCACTACAGGGAAACATTCAGCTTGAAAAGGGAACTTGCCTTGCAGTGGTGGCGAACAGAATGACAGGCAGGAGATGCGGGGTCACCTGATCCCACCGGGGCCACACAGAGGATTATCCGGGCAGCAAATGTCCTGCTGGTTTATCCAACCCACTCTGAAGGAAACCAAGCAATGTGGCTTCTGCCACTTCCCCTTCTGACGTCCTGTGTCACCAGATAACCTGCCAGGAGGAAACATTTGGCTGGGCAGCCTCCTTTCCAAACGTATTTCACATTAACTCATCCCTGGGGGTGGGGATACCGAGGAATGACAGTCCCTCTGCCAGAGAGGCCAAACTGCTGCGGGTCTTTTGAGGTCTGGGGCTGTAAACACAACTCCCAACATCCTGCTGGGTCGGGACGCTTGGATTTGTGCCTTTCTCAAAGCATCTCTTCTCCCCTCTGCTTCCAGCTGGCCCCATGTCCCTGTAAATCCATCCCGGAACTTCAGCTGAGGAAAAGATCTCCTGAATCAGAAGCTTCCTCCTGCTCTTGCCCTTCCCACAACTCCCCCCAGGATGGCATCCGACAGCCCCGAGTCGCTGATGACCCTGTGCACCGACTTCTGCCTTCGCAACCTGGAGGGGACCCTCTGCTACCTCCTGGACAACGAAACGCTGCGGCTGCACCCCGACATCTTCCTGCCCAGCGAGATCTGCGACAAACTCGTCAACGAGTACGTTTGGGGCCTGGCTTTGAGGAGCTGGGAGCTCAGGGAATGGGGTGTGTAGTTCTCCTAAAAAGAATGAAAGGGGAAGAAACCATGGGGCTGTTTTTCCAGTTGATCTTCATCTTGGCAATAAGGGATTGCATTCACTTCAGGAGGAAGTGTTCCCAGGGTTGTTGCAGTGCTATATAGCACTCTAATTTCTGTGGATATCAGCCTTTCCAAGTTAGTCAGATAGAGCTGAACAAAGTCCTGTTAAAATGGAAATCAAAAGGGTAAACCCAGAGTGAAACACTCAGTGCTTCACAGTCAGTAAGCAACAAAGGAGCCTTCCCCTTTCCCACCACTGAAGCTTCACAGCTCTCTTTCCAAGCAGAGAAATAAAGAGTGCAAAGTGCTAACAGATGTTAAATTTTAAAGCTGCTGCTCCCATAGCTTTACAAAGCAACCTGTTTCCAGGGATTTATATCATTTGGCTGTCACCGTCTCTCTTGGCTGAACTTGTGCCCACAAAGTCTGGCAGAGAACTCCGGCCAGCTAATTGTCTGAAAAAATTAAAAAAAAATCAAATTACTAAGTTTAAACAGCCAGGGAGAAAATTCCTGGAGTCTGTGCTTGCCAGAATCCAGTTTGCTCTCACACACACAGAGCCTTGCCCGAGGTTTCCCTGAGGATTAGCTCAGTGCCAGGAGAGGCAGCGGGTCAGCCCCTCGACCCCAGAGGCTGAGCTGGGTGATTGAGGGGGGTCGGTGTCACGTTCCCGTGTCACCAGTGCAGGTGCCAGAGCTGTAGCTGAGCCTCTGCCATGCTCTGCTAATGCCATTGCCCCACACAGGTACGTGGAGCTGGTGAAGACAGACAGCATCTTCGAGCCCCATGAAAGCTTCTTCACCCTGTTCTCAGACCCGCGGAGCACCAGGCTGGCTCGGATCCACCTGCGGGAACAGATCGTGCAGGACCAGGACCTGGAGGCCATCAGGAAGCAGGTGCTGTTGCATTGACAGCTGTCAAGTCCCAGCATAGCTGCCTGGGCACAGCTGGAATCCCAGACACACAGATTCCTAAGGCTCCATCCTTCACTTCAGGAATAACATCAGCTTCTCCCCTTCTCAGCTCCCAGAGCCACTGCAGGGAATGGGATGGGGACACTGGTGATATGTGGTGTCAGGCTGTCCCAGTGGGAGATGTGGAGCAAACAGGGCGGGCACTTTACTTTAAGTATCTCTACCCTTGATTTCCCTTTTCCCAGGACCTCGTTGAGCTCTACCTGACTAACTGTGAGAAGCTGACAGCCAAGAGCCTGCAAACCTTGGTGAGCTTCAGCCACACACTGATCTCCCTGAGCCTCTTTGGCTGCTGCAATATCTTCTACGAGGAGGAGAACCCCGGGGGGTGTGAGGATGACTGTCTGGTGAACCCCACCCGCCAGGTCTTGGTCAAGGACTTTACCTTCGAAGGCTTCAGCCGCCTGCGCTTCCTGAACCTGGGCCGCCTGATCGAGGGGGTGAACGTGGAGACCCTGCTGCGGCCTCTGGCCTCCCTGGCAGCTCTGGATCTCTCTGGGATCCAGCTCAGTGACGTGGGATTCCTCACCCAGTGGAAGGACACTCTGGTTTCCTTAGTGCTTTACAACATGGACCTTTCAGAGGAGCACATCCAAGTGATCGCACAGCTTCGCAAGCTCAGGTCAGATCTGTTCTCCCTTCTCTCTCCTTTTCCCACTGACAGGAAAAGGTCTCTTAGGAATGATCTACGTGCCTGCTAACAGAGAGGCATCTCTGGGTGCCTCTAACTTATAACCTGCTGGGTTCAGGTTATGAACCTTCCTTGTGAACAGGCTCACTCATTGACACTGCACATATCTGACAGGTCTAAAGCCAGCCTGAATTTCACTTGTAAAAAGACACCACTTAGCAGAAACTCAGCCCTCCAAACCATTCATCAGGCAGGGATTTACAAAGTTTAAACCTGGCTCTGCAATAGAACTAGGAAAGGCTCTGAGCTCAGGCTGCCTCCTGGCTGTGCTCCATGGAAGCCCCCTGTGCATGGATGGGGCAACCAAGGGAACAAGCAGTGTCAACAAATGAGTGCTTCTGACCCGAGAGTGTTGACAATGAAACAACTTCCTGAACCAGAGCTGAGACAATTGCTATTCAAACCTCACAGTGGTGTTGGGAAAGGAATCCAGGACTTCCCAAACCAAGGAGAAAGGCTGTACTATTCATAGGAAGGCTACTTTGCAATGGCTTTAGCATCATCTCCCTTGACTTCAGGCACATTAACATACACTCTGGAGTCCCAGGGAACATCCTGGATAACATTTTCTAAATCTAAGTACTTTAACTTCTAGTGACTTGCAATGAAACCTGGTCTGCAACAGGTAGAAGGCACTTTTGTGAGTGGGATGCTGTCTCCAGTTTCAGGAAGTTTAGAAAAGTCTCTCTCAAGGATCTTATCCCCTGCCCTGTAAGGGACCCCACCTGCACACCACGTGGGTCTGTTTGTCCCACCACTCCCACAGCAGCAGGATTTCCCCAAAGCTTAAGTGTTTAAACACCTGAAAGAAGTCAGGACAGAGTATTAGCCTGAGGTGGAAAAATTAGAAGATGGGGGAAGCAGACAAAACCTTGTGTAACTTAATTTGCGAGATGAGGCAAGATATGCGTCTGGGGATGCAAAGATCCTCTGTGCATCTTAATCTCCAGGCAGAAATGCTCAGGTGGCTGCTGTGATGGAGCTTGGGAAAGGCAGTTCCTGAGCCTGGAGCCATTTGCTTTGTGCTGTGTGGCCAGATGATTCACTGTTCTCCTTTCCAGGGACACCTCTACCAGCTATCTGTGTGCTTTGGTTACACACAGGGCCTGCTGCTGCCAGAGCCTACAGAGCCACATTCCTGTACCCTGGGAAGGAAATAATAATAAATATTAACCACATTTGCTTGTCCTTTTCCTCTGGTAGAGAGGCAGAAGCCCCAGCTGATGCTCTCCAGGCTCTGAGATGCTCTCTGTCACCTGCAGGCACTTGGATATCTCCCGAGACCATCTGTCCAGTTATTACAAGTTCAAGCTGACCCGGCGGGTTCTGAACCTGTTTGTGGAGAACCTGGTGAACCTCAGCTCGCTCGACATCTCAGGGCACACCATGCTGGAGAACTGCACCATCCCCAGCATGGAGGAGAAGATGGGCCAGACAAGGTATGGGGACAGCAGTTATTGAGGTCTGCTTTGAGAGCAGTTCCCTCTTTTGAGTTCCCAAATTCTGTAGGTCTGATACTGAAAAGCAGGATACAGCTCTTCCCAGTTTCCCCTGCCAGTGAGGACTGGTGTGAGAATCAGCTGCTGTTGCTGTATGCAACACATGTAAGGACTTGTAAGAGTAATAAAGAAATCATCCCATCTGCCTGCCATACAGCTCTGAAGGATTTCACTTCTTTTCCACACACATTCTCCCAGGGATCTCCTGCAGGATTATTTCTGCAAGGACTCCAAAGCTCTGTACATACTTCCTACACAGAACATTCTTACCCTCAGTGAAATCCAGGCTCTCTTGAGACAGAACATTTACACACTGAGTCAGTGTACTCACAGGAGGGCTCAATGTTTTAGCAGCTTGGAATCTAAAGGCCATTTTTCAGATTTGACCTGGGTACTGGGCAGATCAACCCTTGCAAATCCTGGGAGAGGCATAGCCAGAGGTTTGGTTTTCCAGCTCAGCCAAAAACTCTGCCCTCCTATGAAGCACTTACTGAACAGAAGCAAATAAGTGGGACAGTAGTGGCTCCTTTCCTCCAGAGCTGGTGCAAATGCACTGGCTCTTGGTCAATAAGGAACACGGCAGCACAATCAGTGTTCCTGCTTGCTCCCAGAAGCAGATTTAGTCTGTCAGATGACATGCAGCCCAGTTTGCAAATCCTTTGGATCCACAGTGAATTCCACAGCCCTTTAAGAGGAAGTGTTCACTCCAACCAGTGAATTCCCAGGACAAATTCTACCTGGGAAAGCTGCATTCTGTCTGCATGGATTCTTCTTACTGCTATTCAGTTCTGTTCAACACCTTCACCCATCACTCAGGATCACCTGGGATGAACTAGAGTTAAGTTCAGGAGCAGCAGGCTGGTGTGAAGTGAAGTGTAGCCATCATCACTCTGGTCAGGAGGCAGTACAGGGTGAATGGAGGGCTGACACCTGAACAAACACGGTACCAACATGAGCGATCTCTTGTTCTTTCCCCCCAGCATTGAGCCAGCAAAGAGCAGCATTGCTCCCTTCAGGGGGCTCAAACGGCCACTCCAGTTCCTGGGCCTTTTTGAAACGTCCCTCTGCCGCCTGACACATATTCCAGCCTACAAGGTAAGGGGGCTGCAGGAATGTGGGCAGTGGGAGCCTGGTAGGAGCTGAAAGAATGTGAAAATTACTGGCTGCCAGTAGAGGGGAGTTGTGACAACTGAGCTCTGACCTTTCAGTACCTAGTTGATAATGCAGGAAATCTGCCTCCTCCTCCTCTGTAATTTCCTCCCTGACTGTTTTTGTTCCCCTGTGCCAGGTGAGTGGAGACAAGAACGAAGAGCAAGTCCTGAATGCCATCGAGGCTTACACGGAGCACCGGCCGGAGATCACGTCCCGCGCCATCAACCTCCTGTTCGACATTGCCCGCATCGAGCGCTGCAGCCAGCTGCTGAGAGCCCTACAGGTGAGCCTTTGCCTCTCCCTCACAAGGGAAATTTTCTGGTCCCAGTCTTTTTTTCACCCTGGGAAACCATTCTGGAGAAAGTTCCAGCAGTGCAGTGGAACTGGTTCCCCTTCATTTCGTAAGCGTGTTCCCGCAACACCCGGGCCGCGCGTTCCTCGCGGGCGTTTAACAGTCACTCCAAGACTCCACAGCCTGTCAGTGGCACTCAAGCTCCACGTTGCTTCTCCACAGCTGGTGATCACAGCCCTCAAGTGCCACAAGGATGACAAAAACATCCAGGTGACGGGCAGCGCGGCGCTGTTCTACCTGACCAACTCCGAGTACCGCATGGAGCAGAGCGTGAAGCTGCGGCGCCAGGTCATCCAGGTGGTGCTCAACGGCATGGAGTCCTACCAGGAGGTCACAGTAAGAGCACACCAGGCTCCTTCAGCTCCCTCCTTCCCTCATCCTGTCTCTTTAGCCTGCTGTCAGCAGCTGGGTCTCCTCAGCCTCCAGGGAATGAGTCAAGGCAGAGAAGGGATTGCCCAGGTCTGCTCCTTGCCTTCACTCAGTGATGGAAATTACATGCAGGGTGTTCCTTATCCCTGTGATATTCTCCAGAAAAAGGGGGAGAAAGTGATGATGGCAAGGCTCCTTTTTTTCCATGGATAGTGGCCAAAGGTTGTGCATTCACTGTGGTGTCAGATGGTTGCAGGCATTGGGGATATCGAGTCCATGGAAAGAAACATCCCAAATCTCTGGACTGGAAGCCAGCTGAGCTTGCAGGCAGGAAGGAATTGGCTTGGAAAGCAGTGGGCCCTGGATAACTGTGTGGCCATGTGAGACTGGAGTGACAGAGAGAGAGATGGTACTGACAGAGCGTGGCTAAAGCACAGCACTAAATAGAAGGGTAATGGAAATTTTAGTAGTTGCAGTGAGGCAAGAAGGTGGTTCCAGTACAAAGCAGAACAGAAACATGAAGTGATGGGGCCTGTGGTTTTGTAGCCACCTGGCCCAGCGTTTGCCTCCTTTTGGCCCAGGTGCAGCGGAACTGCTGCCTGACACTGTGTAACTTCAGCATTCCCGAGGAGCTGGAGTTCCAGTACCGGAGGGTCAACGAGCTGCTGCTCAACATCCTCAACCAGAGCCGGCAGGACGAGTCCATCCAGCGCATCGCTGTGCACCTCTGCAACGCCCTGGTCTGCCAGGTGGACAACGACCACAAAGAAGCTGTGGGCAAGATGGGGTTTGTCATGGTTGGTATGGTCCCAGGGTGTCTGCTTACCCTTAACCCAGCCCAGCACACTTCCCTTGCAGCCACCCACCAAATGCAGCCAGCTGTGATCCAACCTCAGTATCACAGGAGGGAAGCAGTGTCCCAGCAGTGCTAACCCTTCCTGGAGCCCCCTTTAGTTGCTTCCCAGCACTGGAAGTCATGATCCCAGAGACAGGCTGGCTGGGAGGCCAGGGAAGCACCGTGACCTTGTACAGGCTGTACCTCCTCACCACATCGTGGCATTTCCACAGCTGGTACCACCTTGTGACTCGCTCCTTCTCTTTCTCCCCAAGTTTGCATCAGCTTCCCAACTCATGCCAAGCCACATCCCTCAGCTTTTCCCAGAGCTGCAGAGGCCAGTGCTCTGGGGCAGTTATGCCACATCCCAGACTTTCTCATACAGATCAAAACTGACTCAGCCACAAATTCAGCAGTTCAGGGACTGGCATAGTTCAGCTCTGTAAATACCTGCAACTTTGCACATAACCCAGTCCCAGTGGGTTAAAGAAAGAGGTACCAAGTAGGTTCTCCACAAAGGATCAAAACTGAGTATGCCTGAAAATTGGCCACTGCAGTACCACAGCAGTTAAGTTTTAGCTCCATGATTTCTGAACTGTTTCTTCCCATTCCTTTGCCCACAGACAATGCTAAAGCTGATTCAGAAGAAGTTGGCTGATAAAACGGTGAGTGTTTCCCCAAAAAACACAGAGTATTTTCTCTTCAGTCTGACTTAGGCCTGGAGATCAGCCCAGAGTGCCAGCTCAGCTTCTCTAACAAACACAAGACATCTCAGCTGACGCTGCAGAATTTCTTGTCCCAGGCTGAGGGCAGGGGAATGTGCCAGGGAAGCAAAAATATTAAACAAAAAAACCCACTTACTGACAAGTTGAAAGTGAATAACAAGGTTTTCTTACCTCTGGAGCCATCTGGGGTGATGCCAGGGAGGAAACAAGTGGTTGGTCTGCATCAGTCCTCCACATTGGAGAAGCTCTGATTCTGTCCCTTCTTTGACTCTCTAGTGTGATCAGGTGATGGAGTTCTCCTGGAGTGCCCTGTGGAACATCACTGACGAGACCCCAGATAACTGTGAGATGTTCCTTAACTACAGCGGCATGAAACTGTTCTTGGAGTGCTTGAAAGTAAGTGGGATTGGCTCTGGGGAGAGGCTGAACGAGCAGGGGAGGTGGGGGTGCCTGGGCAGGATCCCTGGCCCTGCTCCTCTCCAAGCAGTGCTTCCTGCATTGCACAAACAGAAAAGTAACAGCTTGTCTGTGTTCTTCCTTCTCACACCCTTGCAGTAGGACAGAGGAGCTCAACACATCTTCCTCTTTCCCCAGCTCTGCTCAGTTCCCCTGAGCAGGGCAGCAGTGAACAGAGGGCCCTGCTCTCAACTCTCCCACTTCACATGTACCTTTAGCTTTCAAGATCCCATTTAGCTCCTGCTAAGGAGCCATTCCCAACTTCCCAAAAATTCTCAGCCTTTCTAGATGTGCTGTACAGCCTTCCCTCAGGGTTGCTTGTTCTTGGCATCACTGTGGCCCTACCTGTGTATAATCCTGTCCTTTGCTCATCCAGGAATTCCCAGAGAAACAGGAGCTGCACCGCAACATGCTGGGCCTCCTGGGCAACGTGGCAGAGGTGAAGGAGCTCCGCCCGCAGCTCATGACCTCGCAGTTCATCAGTGTGTTCAGGTGAGAGCCTGGCTCATCAGCTGGGCCTGCAGACTCCTAAAGCTTTGCTGCTTCAGCAGCTCTAAGTGATCTCATCTCCCTTGGCAGCAACCTGCTGGAGAGCAAAGCTGATGGGATTGAGGTGTCCTATAACGCCTGTGGAGTGCTCTCCCATATCATGTTCGATGGGCCAGAGGCTTGGGGGATCTGCGAGCCCCACCGAGAGGAAGTTGTGAAGAGGATGTGGGCAGCCATCCAGAGCTGGGATATCAACTCCAGGAGAAATATCAATTACAGGTGAGGAGGAGGAAAAGTTTCACCCAGGAGCCAGGATTGTCACAGGAAGCCAACACTAACAGAGAGAAGGGAGGCTCTGTTCAAAGTGAGGGAGGAACATCCTCAGGGATATTCTTTAGTGAGGGTTTTACATCTTCCTTTGAAATATGTTACACAAGCTGCTGAAATTAGACACCTTACCTGGCAATTCCTGTGGGAGAAGTTTGGGATCCGACAGAATTTCTCCTGCATGTTTCTGGTGAAGTTGAGCAGCTCAGGAATCCCATGATCTGTCTGGGACTGCCTAAGGATCTTGCTCTGAGACTGCTGTCCTTTGCAGCTCTTTAAGCCTGTTTGCTTCCCAAAGTCATGTGCTGTAGCTTTCACTCTCTGGGGCACATTTAGACACAGTTCCCAGAAATCCCTTCACACGTTAATACAACTGCTGGGATCGTCCCAAAACCCTTCCTGTAAGAGGGTATCAGGTACTCAGTATTCCCTTAGTGCTGGGCAGGGATCCAGAACTGGCATTCCAGTGCCTGTTCCACAGTATAGACACGTTATTGTTGTCAGAAGAAACACATCAACCCTTGCACGTGTGCAGCCAGCTGTGCCTGGGTGGAGCTTGGCTTTGTCCCCTCTACAGATTGATCAGTGCTGCTGTTTCAGCTTTGTGAGGAAATGACTGATGGAGGATGGAAGTCAGTTCTGGGGCTCAGTCACCCTCCTCATAGCTATTTATCTGGGCAGTGTCTGTGCTGAAGTGGTGGGGCCTGTAATCCTGCCAGCACTGCCCTGGGACACAGCCTTGGTGCCAGAATCTTTGGCGTGCCAGTGGATTTACTGCTGTGACACCTGTGAGCAGAGTTCGTGTTGCTGTGAGTGGCAAAGCTGCTGGAAGAAGCTGCTGTCGGATTTTTAACAATTTCTGTGATATTTCCGTGCAGGTCATTTGAACCAATCCTCCGACTTCTTCCCCAAGGAATCTCCCCAGTCAGCCAGCACTGGGCCACCTGGGCACTCTATAACCTGGTCTCTGTCTACCGTAAGTGCCCTTTCTGAAATCACATCCCTTGCACTGTAGAACTTGAGGGGGTGGCTCTGAGGCTGTCAGCAGAAAAAGTCTTCCCAGTTAAGCCACGTAGGGAGAGAAAACCTTTTCTGAATGATGCAGGAGTGTCCAGGCAGCACAGCCAAACAAAAACAATGAGACTTGGTGCTTAGGAAATTCCCTCACTGTTTTTGATCCTTCTCCTTGCCCTCCTGCCCCCCTTCATACCCCTCTTGTGAGGGCTCACAAGGACCTGTTCCATTCTTTTCTCTGCAGCTGACAAGTACTGCCCACTGCTGATCAAAGAAGGTGGCATCCCCCTCCTGAAGGACATGATCAAAATGGCCTCAGCACGGCAAGAGACCAAGGAAATGGCCCGGTAGGACATCAGAGCACTGTCACAAACATCCAGTTTAGCTCTAGTTTTGATTCCTCCACATCAAGCGAGGCTGCCAAAGCAAGGCCTGCATTGATGTGTGCAAGGGGTATGAAGTGAACACGGGAAAAAGAGGATGAAAACAGAGGACTAGAGGTGTTTGTAGGTGGGCATTGCACACAGATCACTGTCAGGGACATTGGTTACAGACCTGGCTTGTTGACCAAGGGAGCCAAATGACCAATTGCAGCTCTTAGGCCAACAGTCTGCAGTCATCACTGTCCCCACGCGTGTGGGGGCTCCCTGTCTCCAGAGTCATCCTGGTCTGTCACTACAACTACTGACTGCACAGTTAAAATGAGAGCATTTTTCAAAAGGTAGAGAGAGAGTCCATCACCTTTGTGAGCTCCTCCAGTTCTTGGGACCTTCTTTTGGAGTCCTTTCAGGGTTTTAAAGTCACCTGCAGTCCTTGGTCACTGGCAGAGCGAGAGCTGTAATTCCATACCTGCAGGATGAGTAAGAGGTAGGGATGGGCTGGGAACACATCCCTGGTGGGTGGGCAGCAGGTGTTCCCACAGCTGAAGGGTCACTGAGTGCTGGAGGGGACTGCAGCCTGCAGGGGACAGTCACAGTTACACAGTGTGTGTTCATGGCCCAGGTGACAGCACAGTGAGTGACAGACGTTTGTGTGCACGTGATTCCTGCTGGGATTCAGAGGTGTCTGAGGATTTGGGTTAGGGGGGTGGTGAATGAACGTGCACTACTGTGGCTTCACATTCCAAACTGTTGTGGAGTTTAGTGGTTTTGACACAAACAGGATAAAGTGGGACAGTTCTTACCTCACTGTCTCACAACTGGGTGCAATGAGCTTTACACTAAAGCCTCTCTCCTTATCCTTGTTTTATCCATAGGAAAGTTATAGAGCACTGCAGTAACTTTAAGGAGGAGAACATGGACACTTCCAGATAGAGGCACTCCCCCAGTGCCTCTTGCCAGCACTGTATCCAGCTTCTCTCTAACTCACTGTACATAGGGAGGACTCTTTCTTACCAACTCGCCCGTTGGAAGGAAACTTTATGTGTGTGTGTGAGACCCTCAGTAGATGAAGGTGAACAGAGGAGGGGGGAGGGACTTTTTGCACAACAAAATGCTTTCCTTAACTTAGTGGACTTTTTTTGTTATGAAGTTTCAGGTTGAAGTTCCGTGTGTATGATTTCTGTATAAAAAAGAAAACAAAAAAACAAAGACAACAACTACATTATGTATCTTTTAACCTTTTGATTTTAGACCACACCGAGAGCCTCAAATGACCATGAGCTTGAAGACCTAGTTGTGTGATCACTAGTGTGACATGTTTATTTCCCACTTTTTAGAGAATTCCCTTTTTGCTGTACTGCATGAGGTCCTGTAATGTCTGCAAGAACACCAGTCCTGAATCAGCACTGGCTGCTCAGTGGGGCTGCAGGCAGGGATGAGTTATTTTATTTGGTCAGAAAGGATGGGGGACACAATACCAGAGAGACAGACCAAAAGAACTGACCTTTTAGTGATTATTTATAAAAGGAGAAAATCGAGAAGAAAGATCTTTTAAGTTAATTCACTCCCTTAAGGGTTTTTTATAGAACCTCACATTAATGGAAGCACTGCTAACTGTATGTGGGTCATCCAGAAGTAAAACATTCCCAGTTAAATCAAGAGGTCTGTTTTGTCCTCCCCATTGGCAGTGCACCCTCAGAAGGTCAGGGATGACCAGTAAAACCAGTTACACATTCTTGGCTACACAGAGCTTTTCTCTCAGAGGGAGGCACCAGGTTTGTTCACAAAGGGCTACACATCTTCATTCCAGACCTTCACCACCCTTTAGTTGTGTTTCTTTGGTGGGGAAGGGCTACAAAGCCAGAGTGTTTCTCTGCATAATAAACTCTCCCAGGCCCTGGTCCAGAGCAGTTGTACCCTGATGCAAGTCCCAGGAATGGCCTGGAGCTGCTCTGCCCTTCCTCAGTCTGCATCAGCACAAGCTGTGCTCAGTGGCACAGCTATCCCCCTTCACAGGACTCTCCCTGCAGCACAGCTGCTGGAGCTGGAGGTGCTGAGGTCCCTTCCTCAGAGGGGGGAGTCTCCCTGCACCCTTTGCAGGGCAATCCCATGAAATAGCCCCTCTAGTTCCACCCTCTGCTCGGAAGCAGAAAGCCCCAAAGCACCGCTGTCTGACTCCAGCAGCACCTCCCAGTGCAGCCCCACTGCCCTCAGCAGCTCTGCTGCAGTTTGAGATGCAGGTGAGAGGAGAGTCCCACCCAGCTGGGCTTCCCCTCTAACACTCCAGACCTGTAAGGGCTCCAGAACCCAAAGGTTCTCCCAGCCAGACACTCAAAGCACAGCGTGCAGCTCCTGCTCAGAGCCCACTGCTCACCACAGCCCTGTGACAAGTCACAAATCTGCCCTTAGAAGGGACTTAGGGAAGATCTTATGCCTGGTAGCAGGAGAGGAGCCCACAGGCACGTGAGGTGGGACATTTCAGGCCTCTGAGCACAGTAACTCGCTGCTCTCTCCCCTCGGACACGTTTGCTCTCAGATTGACTCGCTGCTATGAGGTTCTGCTAATGCTCAGAGTTCATGTTGTCCTTGTGAGCACGTTAGAGACAGATCCTTGATCCACAAACTGACACTTTAACTGACAGAACACAGCTGCCTGGACAGGTTTACTTTTTCTGCCAATATGGTGTTATTCAATGTCTTTTTTTTTTTTTTTTTCCTCTTTTTAACCATAAGTCATTTGTTTTGGTATTGTGAGATCTGTACTTTTTTCTTTAAAGTATTTTTCAAACTTATATATATTTTTGTGTCACTTTCAAATTGTTTTCGTAAGATTTGCAAAACTTGACAAATTATACTTTTTTGCAGTCGTTTAAAATGTATTTTTCTCTCTCTTATTCCTGTTCCCCGAGAATTTGTGTCTCTAAAGCTTTGAGATGGGGAAGCTTTATTTCAAGGTATGTTTTCTGTGTAACCTTTGCTGATCTTCCTTCTAGATGCAAAACTAAGAGGGGCTGCCAATCCTGCCAGGCAGCCTGGGTGTGTTAGGGCAGTCAGGTTTTGCTCTTTAATTCCATTTGGTGCTGCTGTCCTGAAGCTGTTTCACTTGACAGTGCCACCCACCAGCTTTGCTTCCTTCCCAATGCCCGTGTAGTGAAAGCTCCCCCCACTAAAAACTTGACTCACCTGACAAAAAGCACTGAGGATTCTGACTGTGTTGGCAAGGAGGGAGTGGAGCAGAAGGGGACACGGCACAGAGGGAGAGGTATCAGAAACCCCTGTCCCCAGAGCAACAGTGGAACTCCCATGTCAGCTGGAGCAGAGCTCAGCCCTGCATTGCCATCCAAGCCAAGCAGTCAGCCTTTTCTCTGGGATTTTGGCACAACGACATCAAGGCTAATGAACAACCTGTGACTTGGTTCCATCTGCCTCAAGACCCCAAAGGTTTGGGTTTTCCAAACCAGTGCCCCCCCAAGTTCAGCTGTTACTGCTGCATCCCAAACTAACAAGCTCCAAGCTGCACCAAAGCTTTGTTTCCTCCTGTAAACCTCTGTCCTCACTGCTCACAGCCCCTCAACAAGCTGTACCTGAACCAGCATGAAATGATTGCAAATTCCCAGCAACCAGGAGATCAACGGAGTCAGGCCAGGCTGCCAGAAAAGCTCAGTCTGAGCTGAAATCTGTCACTGATCCCAGGGGAAGGGGGAACTACAACAGGGCACTTACAGCAAGCTACACATCAGACTTTGAGTCGGGCCACAGCAAGGTAAATTCCTGAGACAGCACGATAAAAGAAGTATCATCCCTGTTAGAGTCATGTAAGCTTTGCCTACAAGCTTCTGTGTCTTCAAGCCAAGAATTTGTGAGCTGAGAAATAAAATTTCCCCTTCAGTAAGGAGCAAAAGAGAGGAAGGTATCCTCTGAACACCTGAGCACAATCCAGGAATTCTGGAATTGGAAGTGTGAAAGGAGTTTGTAGCACGGTTTCCCTACCTGAAACAACAGGAGTGACCTGAAAGCACTTTTTGGAGACAGAGTTAATGCCATAGATCCAGAGCTGAGGACAGAGCAGGAGAGCTGCCTGCAGGTATCATATCAGCGTTCTGCAAGGAGGGGAGGGTAAAGTGGCTGATTTATTTGTGAAGGTCTAATGTAAAAGGGGAAGTCAGACCCTGAAATGCTGGATCAAAGGAATGAACCAGGAGACTTTAACTCCACCCAGAACGATAGAGCCATTCACCAGTCCTGCTCAGAAAAGCAGAACAGGGTTGTCACCAGAACTGTCAAGTGAAAACCCAGTTCAGGATGAGTAAACATGGCAGAGGTGCTCCTTGTGCTCAGTAGCTGTTGGCCCACCCAGACTCTTCTTCATGATTTCACCTCTACATTTCCTTCAGGATTGCAAAGCTTGGCAAGCAGAGCACAAACACAACTCAGCAGCTCCCAGCACAGACTGTGCCAACAAAGGATCCCTCTGCCTGGAGTTTCCTCCCTGGCTGGAGGCTGCCCTGTCCTTCAGTGGCCCCTGGCTCAGCAGGCAGTGCTGGGCAACTTCCCACAAGTGCTTCCATTTGACAAGATCTGTGGGAGGAATTGCTTGTAAGGACTGGCATCTCCTTGTGTGATGCCTAACACCCATCAGCACCAGACCTTCTCATCTAGACCAAGCCAGGAGAGTTTAGCACTGATATTTGTGGCAATCAGAGCACTGCAGATAACTCATCTGCACCATGGCTGCTGTTTCCCTGCACCTTCCAACTGAAATGTTTCTCTTCAGCACTAAATCCTACCCAGCTTGTCACCTTGGCTGGGCTTCTTCTGCTGCTGTCACTGCTCTCTGCAAAGGATGAGTGGGAAGAAAAGTCTTGGAGCTGTGAGCTGAGTCCCTCTCATCACCTGAAGAAGGCAATTAATTACCAGTGGGACAGGAGCTCCAGGGGCACTGCAGTCAGGGCAGTATCCATAGGAAAGACATTTCCTTAAGCCTGTTCAGGGAGGAGCCTGCCACAGCTCAGGTGTCAGAGGGCAGCTTGTGCTAGGAAAAGAGAATTAAAAGTAGGGAAAGAGCTGGTCTCCACGACAACCATGTGGATGAAGCACAGAGGGCAATAGGGATGGATGAAAAGGAACACGTGGGCTGGAGGAGAAGACAGCACTTAAATAAAGGTTGAGGGAGATTTCCTGCTGAACTGAAACACTTCTGCTTTAGCAGACTTTGTTTTGATTTCATATAGTTGTCACTGATTCTATCCCTGTAACTCTTCTCTTGTTTTTAAAGAAGTTTTTAGGCTAACCAAATCTGTATCTCCTTGTTTTGCTGAAAGAAAATCCCCTCCTTTAGAACGAGCTTTTCCTCTGTCCATGGACCTGCCTGATGTGGGGCCCAGTTCAAATGTTTGTACATGGTGAAACCCAGCAAAAAAAAAAAAATCAAAATGCACAACTGCTGCTTCCTTACAATTCTGAATGAATTAACTTTTCTGTTGTATCCTTTGGATACCCGCTGTGTATTAAACCTAGTGCTCAACAGTGTCTTCTTCCTTTGCTCTGGGGATGGGGTTTATTGAGGTGCATTACTGGGCCATTTGCTGTCAAATATTTCATCCCAAGTGAAAGGAACTGCCATGTGTTGATGGTGCAGTTCAGTGGCTTTGCCTTTCATCACTCCAAGGGATACAATACTGTTTGTCAACAGAAAAGAGATGTGGAGGAAGGGAGTATTGTTAGGAAATTGTGTGAGAGGGGAATAAAAAAAATCAGGACAATATTTGAGTGTACAGATTGCTCTGAACTCCATAACAGATCTGCAGCTCGCTCTCCACAGCCCAGGCTTTGTAAGTGGGCAGAAGCTGAGCACTTCAGAAAAGCCTCTCTCTTAAGCCACTCAATCTGCTTTGAGGCCAGCATGACTTTCTTCTTAAGACCCTGGTCCTGCAAGGGCTCAGCTCTGGTTAATTCAGGGGTTGTGGAGTCTCTAAAGGATCCGACTCGGGGTGAACAGAGGGAGGAGGAATGATGTGAACCTGAACTGCCTCTGAAAGTGTGCTCTGTTGGAAGAGGACAGAGAGATACCTTAGGCTTCCAGCAGCGTGGAATTCCTAGCTGGAATGCCATAAGAACCTAAATTCTCCACTCAGAAACCTGCTAATAGAGACTTCCTGTAACTGAGCCCTAATTCCAGCCACTCACTGAGGCTGAAACCCGTGAGGCAGAGATGAGCTTTGATCTCTGCAAGACAGGTTTCACAGCTGAAGGAGGAGATAAAAAGAGTAACGTGCACCAAATTATTTTAATCACTCCTTAAGACAGATTATTCTAGAACATCAACATGTTTCTACTTTCAAGTGGATAATGTTGTTACTACTCACATTGCCTTCTCATTAAGCTTTAAAATTTACACCTCTCTGCAAGGAAGGAAAGACACTACCCACCTTTTTTTGAAGCACCAGTACAGTCTGTGAGGTGTCTGAGGGAGGATAGCTGTAGGTTTTGCATTTACCTAGAATAAAAAAAATGAAAGCAAAAGGGTTTGAACGATTGTTAAAAATTCTGTCTATGATTTTTATTGACATTTCAACCCAGCTGTCTCAGGTAAACCATTGAAGTGACCCACACAGCCAGGTGCTTTCCTGGAATCAGCAGGTGGCCACTGACTCACTTAAAGAGACCAAAATAACGAATTTATGGGCAAACAATATCGAGGAATCAGCTACTTTTAAGGTGCTGGAGGGTAAATTTAGAAAGAATAGGCTTTTTCTTTCCAAATTTTCACTGAGAAGGAAGGTAACAAAAGCACAGGGTTTATTTGTGTTAAAACTGAAAGTAGTGTAAAGAAAAAGCACTGATTTGGGAACTATTGCAGCCCTGTGATGAGATTCATCTGCCCTAAACAGACAGACACTCCAAGTGTAAATATGTACATCTAAGCTATAGTCAACATAGCTTTTTTATTGTTAGCCAGAGACATCTGGTCTGCAATTCAACTGCTTTTAGCTGCCTATTTCAGCTGAAAAGGGCCATTCTCTAAACACACCTGCTTCCCTCTGCGGGCAGTGCCCTCGCTCAGCCGGGAGCCTCCTCAGTGCAGAACATCCCCGGCCAGAGCACAGGTTATGTCGGGCATTCTGCAGGCTCCGTTTGGTTCGCGGGGCGCTGTAACCGCGTCCAGCCAGGCACGGCCTCGGTGCCTCCTCCCGGGGGATGGAGATGAACACTCGGAATAACCACACTGGCAAGACCGGAGTTCACGCGGTGCAAGCACCTCAGGCACCACCTCGAGCAGCCTTCGAAGGGCACCCGCTGCCTGCCCCATCTCTGCCAACCCTTCCATCGCTCCCTGCACACCCGGCACTGAGCGCGGCTGTATCGGAGGTGCCGAGCGCCGTGCCCAGCCCCGCGCTCCCCACACCCGCTGGCACAGCCCGGCAGCGCCAGCGAGAGCCCGGGCTCGGAGCGGGAAAGGGCTGAGGGAAAACACCGAGTCACAGAATCACAGAGTTAGGATCTCTGGTCCAACCCCCACCGACACCTGCCCCGGGGAAAGGCCCCGGGGCGCTGGGCCGGCCCGCAGAGCGCTGTGTGGGGGAGGACGGGCCCGCGGGCTGCAGCGGGAAAAACCGGGAGCGGTGGGGAGGAGAGCCCGGTTCCACGGGGCAGCGGAGCCTGAGGGCAACGGAGCTCGCCAGGAGCGGAAGTGAGTCCCGCGTCGGGCCGCCCTGGCCGCCCGGGCGCTGCGCGCGGCCCTGCCCCTGCCAGCCCTGCCCCTGTCCCTGCCCCTGCCCCCTCCGGCCCCGCCCGGTCCCTTCCGGGCCGGCGGGGCAGCGGCGGAGCCTCCATGGGTCCCGGCGGGCGCTGGGTGCGGGCGGCACACACGGCCCTCAGCGCGGCCCTGACGCTCGGGCTCCTCCTGCACCGCACGGGTGAGGCGGGGCCGGGCCGGGGCCGCTCCGCCCCGGGGGTACCGGGGACGGGGATCGGTGCGGGGCTGTGCGGGCCCTGCACCCCGGGGGTGCCCCCAGGGCAGGGGAGGGTGTGGGGAGCCCCTTCTCAGCCTCTCCCCGCTCACCCCGCCCCGGTTCTCCCCGCAGGTGCGGGATCCCTTTGCTAAGGCCAGAGGGAAACATCCCGGACGCTTCACAAGGAGCTGCTGCTCTGTTTCTTTTTTGGGTACCTTTCAGATCTGCGCGAGCAAGAGGAGCGCGGGGAGCTGCTGCGGCCGCTCAGCTTCGTCCTGCTGGTTCTGTGCTCCGTCCTGCTGTACTTCAAGGTGTCTCTCATGGATCCGGGTTTTGTTAAGCCTGAAGAGGAAGCAAAGGTAAATCCCTTCATAAATGAACAAAGTGGTGAGGCTATAAAGTCCACAGGCTTCTCTTGTTTTTCCACTCGGCAAGATAAGAACAGTGTGAAATAGTTCTGCTGGCACGAAGGAAACAAGCGCAGGCCACTGGAGATGAGACCAGACTGCCTCACATTTGTATTCTGTAACAACAGCAATAGGGGTCAGACTTTAAATGTGCCTTTCACAGCACTCCGACTTTACAAGTGACTGTGCCATTTGAGCCCAAGTCCTCTCTTCCAGCAGAGGCTGCAGTGCCCTGTGGAATGTATACATGACCTATTTTATTCTAACTGCTGCTAAGCGGTACAAGTGCACAAAAACCTAAATTGAAGGGCAGGCTTGGCAGACAGTGCTCTCTGCAGCCCTGTTTATTGAGCTGTTTATGGATTGGTTGCTCTCTCAGAGGACACACACACGAACAAGTTACAGCGAGATAAGTGGAGATGCAAAGTTCCAGTAACTGATAGTCTGCCCGAGGTTCGTTGCCTTCCAGACAGTGCAGGACAAAAGCATGAGCAATCTTCGTCCTCCATCATTACTGTGAGGGCAGCTGGGGATGAATAAGTAGCACTGCTTGTACTGAAAAGACATCACTACTGTGTTTGGAAGTGAAATCTTGCTTTTGTCCTAAAGTGTGTCTCGTCCACAGTTATTTCTGTGGACTGAAATTTCTGCCTCTGTGCAAACATTCTTTGCACGGTCACAGGAGCCCGTTCTCTCTCGCTGTACCACAACTGCAGCTTCTCTAGGAATTCTGAGGAATTATTTTGTTTAACTTTCCTAATGACAGAGATAACCAGCACTGTGTAACTGTTGAGTAAAAGGGTGCAGTAACACAGCTCAGTCATGCCAAGACAGCACCACACAAACCTCTCTGTCTCTCTTTGCAGGCAGGGGAGGCTGAAGGACAAAGCCTGGTGATGCCCCAGGCCACGGGCGAGGTGAAGCTGCGGCGCTGTGGTTACTGCCTGGTGAAGGTGGGCATCCAGAACGTGCTGGAACGGGATGGGATGAGGGATTTGACAGTTCAGCTGCTGCTGGTGGTGGTTTTCAGCTCCATCAGTGCTGCTCAGAGGAGGCTGGGCAGATTGTGCAGCTACACGTGCAGTAGTGATGGACGTTGGCACAAAGGCCGGTTTTCCAAGGCTGGAAGTCCCTGCTGGCTTGTAGAAACAAGCAGCTTCTTTTGCCATAGAAAAATTGTATTCCACATTCTTACTGCCATGTCAACCACTGTCAAGAAGGTTATTTTAAACATACCTTGATAGTCAGAAGAGCAGTTGAACATGCCCTGTGTGAACTGATCATCACTGAGAGCTTGTTTGGAGGTCTTAAAACAACAGAACATTGGCCTGGATGGTGAAAGACAGCATGAAGGAGAAATTAGAGCAATTTAATTAGCTCTTAAAACAGTTTGCCTAAAGCCTGTCTTCAGAGTGATCCTTATCAGTTTAATAAAATTAAGCATTATCCCAGCTTCCATAAATTCCTAAAGAATATCTACCAGGAGAAGGGAGCTTATTTCAGGAGGAAAAGCTGGCGAAGCATTTCTGTGCTTCGGGGCACAAATCTTAGGAATCACTACTTTTCTCAGCCAGGTCTTTCATTTTTCTGTTCTTGTTCTTTGAGCTGCTTTCCTGTGCAAGTGTCTTGTACTCACACAGAAGCAGAGACACTTCCCTCCTCTGTGCATCCCTTAAAAACATCCCATCCCTGCCTACTCTGGTCAACAGCAGTGGTCCTTGTTTCTCACCTCAACACTGTGCTCGTGCTTTCCTGAAGGGACTCATTGGCTCTGTCTCCCTCCATGGCACACTGGACTTCCTATAAATATGTAGGTAATAAAGATGTGTAGATAGAAGTAATGTGGGAGAGCCACTTAGTTTGGATCCCACCCATCTGGGTGTGTTCCAGGGGAATCGTGACCCCCTGGAGCTGTTCTCAGCAGTGCTGATGTGCTGTTGTCTCGCCCTGGAGTGCTTTAGAGACAGGATTGCTGTGGAGGAGGAGTTTTGTTCTGTTCCACCAAGCAGGGAGTGGGACAGCACTGGACTGCTGCCAGTGAGTTTTTTTTCTTTTTCTGACTGATTGTGTCTGTTTTGCAGCAGCCCATGAGAGCCAGGCACTGCCAGCTGTGCCAGCACTGCGTGCGGCGCTACGACCACCACTGCCCCTGGCTTGAGAACTGTGTGGGAGAAAGGAACCACCCCCTCTTCATGGCCTACCTGGGTGTGCAGCTTGTGGTTCTGCTGTGGGGAGGCCACGTTGCTTGGTAAGGGTGGGAGGTGGAGTTTGGACCTCTGAGATGGCTGAAAGTTGTGGTGCTCCTCGAGGCCCACACGCAGGGGTTGGTGTAGAACACTGGCCTGGCTTTGGATCTTCACCGTCTTTTGCATCCTGGAGCCCCCTAATCTTGAGCAGAATCTGATAATTTAGGTTTCATGGTTCATTTTGCTTCAGTTACTGATCTTTGTTTACAAGTCCAAGTGCTGGAAACTCCATCAGGGTTCCAGCTGTTCAGGAGAGGAGTTCACTCAAGGCCATTGTCTCTCAGCTGTCAGGGGACCCAGCATTTCTGAACTTCTTAGATTCCAATCCCTACAGGTGCAGTCTCTCAGGACTTTACAGTATATGAACTCTGTAGTAGAGGATTATCAGCAGCTCACTAGTTACAAATCAAACTTAAATGTGCCATCAGGTTTAAGGAACTAGTTCTGCTCCTTTAACCACAGATTTATTTCTCTTTGAATTGAAAGGTCAGGCCTCTCCTTTCAACAGTCCTGGGAATGGCTGCAGCACAACATTTTCCTCCTCCTGTCCTTCTTCCTGATAGCCACATTCACCATTGTGGTCCTGCTGCTGCTCGTGTCCCACCTGTACCTGATCTCCTGCAACACCACGACCTGGGAGTTCATGTCCCACCACCGCATCTCCTACCTGCGCCACTCCGAGCGGGAGAATCCCTTTGACCAGGGCATAATCCTCAACCTCTGGAGATTCTTCTGCTCACGCCACCTCACTGCGTGGGAGCAAATCTATTTTCACAGGAACAGCGAGCCTGTGTAGTGCCAGGAGTACCAGCACACCTGCAGGTTGCTGGGCAGAGCTTTGCTCGTGTAATTGCTGCTGCTTCCTCGCACTGAACTTTAACACATCATGGACTGTGCAACCTGCTCCACAACCTGCTCACCCTGCAAAGTACTTTTCAGGGATAGCCAGGGTTATTTTTAATATACAAATAACACTGTTAAAGATGAGACACTGGTTCTGGGAAGGGCAAGGTCAGCAGAGCTGATTTCTGGTCCGAGGAAAGGTATCTCTCTAAACTTACTTCCTTTTCTTAACTGCATCCACATCTCCTGAAGAATTCTCTTCCCTGAGGTCTCCCTCTCGTTTTGCTGCTAGGGAAAAGCAGCAATTACAGACAAAACCAGCCAGGATCACTGTAATTCCTGTGGCCTTTCTTCAGCCTAGTTCTGACTGGGAGAACTGCAGTGCCTTTTGTCAGTAGGATTGGGCACGGAACAGAAATACTTGAGTAAATATTTAGACAGCCAAAAGCAAATTTCACTTCATCCACATGCCTCAAGTTAATGCTTTCCACAAAGCTTTGAGGCTTAACACTGTTAAGTGCATGAGAAACAGCTGTAAGACACCCAATTCAGCTTATGAGATAATTAGCCTGTACTTTGTGATGCCCTGAGCAGCTTCCTCACAGCTTTTTAAGTTGATGCTGCTGCTAACAATTCACAGGCTATTTTGAATCAAGTCAGCAAAGAATGACACTATCTACTTTCCTTTGGACAGAAAAGTAATGCTTGGCTACTGAGATATTGGTAAAACTACTACTACCTCAACACACTAGTGAGATTTTAATAAAAGAGTACAATTCCAGTGCAAGAGGAAAGCTGCCAGATGCTGGTGGATGAGATGAGGGCTGCTGACAGCAGCAAGTGCACTTGTTTTCCATTGAAATAGTTCAGTTTTCCATGGGGTACTAAAAGGAAGTTTGGGATGGGCAACTTCAGCTTTAAAAACGGAGAAGGCTGTGGTGTCAGTTTTAGACCTGACCCTTTCCTGTTAAAAAACAAGAAAAAAAAACCACCACACCAAAAAACACCACAACAAAACATTAGTTAAAATTATTCTGTGCCTTAATTGCCTTGGCTCAGGAAGTGAGAGCAGCTCAGGAGCACATCTGGCAAGCCAGGAGGATGCACTTGGGGTTTAAAGTTAATGAACACTCATGAAAGGACAGTGCAGTCACTACCACAGCATGACAGTCCAAAAGCAGATTGAAAACAGCACAAGATCCCTTTTTTGACCAAGTCCAGAGTGTGTGATCCCTGCCCAGTCTGGTTTGTTCAGGGTAGAAGCTCTTATGAGAGGGATATAAAACCACTAAGGATTGTTTTTGGGACACTGCAATACCATCCAGAATGGATTCTGTGGTTGGTTTGTGTCACTGTGGTGCCTGCTACAGCCTGGATCATCTTTTCTGGTTCTTCAGGTATCAGTCAAGTAGAAATTTGTCAGCAGGTTCTACAGCTCAAAGCACAGTTTTGCTCTGTTTGGTAAATATTTTTAAAAAGCACTGGGATGTTAATTTACCTTTTTTTTTTTTTACTCTAAATTATAAAATAAAATATTAAATATGCTTTTTTTTTTAATTCTTTATGCCTCTCTCTTTGAACCCAAGTTCCAGGTTTCACCTGTGCTAACAATCCCCTGTGCCACATCCCCACTTCACAGTGGCCTTGACCTTAAGAAAAGCCACAAAACACACCAGAGGGGCCAACAGCCAACTGTTACCACTCAAACAAGAGCGAGGAGAACATCTCCCCTGCTCCATAGGGACCAGTGTCCTGCCAGGCTGAGCAGGAGGCTGAAAGGACCTTTGCAGGAGGGAGTTTTCAGCAGCAGTTCCACTTGGCTCTGAAAACAGGAAATGCAGGTTCAGTTTTGCACCAATGTGGCTCTTACCTTGTTGAATTCTGAGGCATTTGGAGCAGTCCTGGTTTAACAAGGCCAGTTCCCTGGATCCTTTATCTCCAGGTCAGCACAGCTCCCTTAGTCCCTCTCCTGTCTACATCTGCTAAAGAGAAACTGTAAGAGCAGTGACTGTCCCTGTTTGCATCAGCTCTAGAGACCCTTCCTTTTTTGTTCAACAAGGTAACATTATGAATTTAAGAGATGAAAATGTATCTTATTAAGTAAAATTATTTTGCCGGGCAAATGAAATCATCTTTAACTTGCTGTTTTTCCAGTATCAACACTGTCATTACTTAGCTGTCCCCAGAAAAGATACAGGATTTACACACTGATAAAATGTGTGCAAAGACAACCTGACTGCTGTCATTGGTATGTGCCAGCTGATGACACCATGCAATGTGTACTCAGACAACCTGAGCGAGAAGGAAGAAAGAAAATATTACTGTTGACATTTACAGAGCAAAATAAAATCCTGCCTGGTGAGCAGATTGTGGTTAGCCCTAATCTGAAACATTCAGCTAACACAAAGGAGATGAAAAGCTGAACATTTATTATAAGGAAGGATATCTTTATTTTCAAAAAAGGAAAAACGTGCAAAGCTGGGGGGTTTTATATCATTAAAAACAATGGCTAAGATTTGGCATCCTTAATGAAGTAGAAAGAGACTAATTTTCCTTAAGATAAATCACTTGGATCATTATCAAACATCATTGTCTTGGTTATGTTAAAATCCACTCCTTGCCTGGCATACACATATTTATGAGTGGGAAATGGCATAAAATCATTACCAGGAGGAAATGCTGCATCTCTTCTCTAGAAAATAGGTGAGAAGTGGCCATTCCCCTGCTACTCTACAACATCAAAAAGCCACACTACTCACTTAGGCTTTTTTCAAAGAGCAACCTGGGCTGCAGAGATGATTTGAGTGCACCCTTAATTCCAAATTTCCATCTACATTCAGTGACAGCAGAAGATCCATCTGGTCAAACATGAATTATTCCTTAAAGATAACTGACATCCAGTGTCCCTCCAACAAATGAGGCTGGCACACCCCCAGCAGGTTAACCCAGCTCGCAGGGCACCTCCTCCTGGGGCCGTCAGCACTACCTGTTCATGGATCCTGTTGACTTTTCCACTGCCCATGCCAAGTCCTCTCCAGGTGGTAACAACCTGTTCACGTTTTGTGTGGCACAGGAATCACACATCTAAAAGGTGTCTGGAAACAAAGTCAAAGTCCTTGAAGACAGTCTGCTCCTTGCGGGTGAGGAGAGCGACCTCCTCGGGGGGAGTGAGGATGGGCTTCTGGGAGGTGAACTCCTCGTCAAAGTTGCTGATGTCTGTTGGATCTCTCAGTGTGGGCACAAAGGGGGGCTTCAGTCTCCTGGCAAGCAGGGCATCCCAATCAATTCCCTGGGAGAGAAGGAAGGGAACAAGGTGGGTTGAGAAATGCAGCTGCCATCGAATAGACTGACTGGCAATGACCGTCATCGCTAAACAGCTGCTTTGATGCTGCAGCTTCATTTAGAAAGGAGGATTTGTTGATGTCTCTGAAGTTGGGTGTATTTGTACATAGAAGGAGCACAATCAGAAATAACAAAGGGGCTCTGGCAGCTTACAGATGCCAGAAAACACATGAGGGATGTCATTTCAAATGTGAATTAAAACACATTCCTGAATGGAGCAATGAGGTACAACAGAAACTATCACTAAGATCTCACTGGTAACTAATGGAAATATGTCTCAATACCAACAGCGAGCAAATCACTCTCAGCTCAGACACAAAAAATGATGGAGAAGGAAATAAAGCGAGTTCCTACCTTAAAAAAGGGCTGGATTTTAATCTCTTCTGCATCCTTCTCCCCTGCTCCCAGTCTGCGCTCTGGACATTTCCGAAGCAGCTGCAGAAATACGGGTTCAAAGTTAAACAGCGGGACCAAGGATGGACAGAAATAATGTTCCAGAGAGAAAAACAAAAGAAGGGATGGACTGATCCCTCAGTATCTTCTCATTTTCACTTTGCACCAAGGTCATCTGCCAGGAATAGCTCAGACCCAGTTCCTTGTAAACAACTTGCCAACAGCAATAAGATACCTGCTATAAACTGCGTGAAGCATCTCAGTTTAATTGTGCACCTGTGACTAAAGGGTCACATTCAAACCCTGACTCCAGCCCTCTCCACTGCAGGGCTCTGACATTCCTGCCCTTGAATCAACACTTCTCCATGTCACACTTAGCAGGAACAGTGAGCAGCCTGCTTAGTCATCCTTACACAGAACTGCACTTATGTAAAGAGATGGAAAGGAAAAATATGTGTAAATGTTCAATGTTTCCTCAGTCTGTGTAGGCAGCTCCAGATTACACACACAGATGTATCCAGTCCTAATTGAGTCCCTCTGGATCCACTCACAATTCCTCAGGCTCCCAGAAACCCAGCAAGCCCATTACCTTCCGGATTATAGCAAGTGCCTCAGCTGACAGGAATCGTGGATACCGGACTTCATCATTGACAATGCTGTCAAAGACCTCCTCCTCGTCATCTCCAGGGAATGGTGACTGCAATTGGGACATTCTGTTATTTAATACAAATACCACCCCAACCACTCCTCACTATTAAATAGGGATGAGAATAGCAGGGAGTTGCTGGATTAATTAACGTTTGGCAAGTGAAATGAGTGAGAAAAATGTAACTGAAGTAGTAAGTGGCTACATTTTCTCTCAAGTGGTCAGGTCCCCAAGCCTGGTTAGTGAGATTCCCTGAGGAAAAGTGGCCTTACCTCCCCAACAAGCATCTCATAAATGAGCACACCCAGTCCCCACCAGTCCACTGCCCGTGTGTACGAGATGTCCGTCAGCACTTCCGGAGCCAGGAATTCGGGGGTGCCACAGAAGGTGTTTGTCCTGTCTCCAAAACCTATTCCTGGAGGAAAAAGGACACTTGGAAAAGCCAGCACACATAACTGAATGGAGCACAGGCAGCCTCACCTTCTGACAGCTGCAGTTTGGCACCTGATGTTGTCACCTGGGCAAGGGTTCTCATCAAGGCTTGTAAATGCCAGGGAGGAAGTGGGAAACCTGAGGCCCCCAACAGCTCCAAAAACCAAATATACAGACAGTGCTTCAATAAACAGCAAACCCAAGAAAACCTCCTGCAGATTCCACTGCTCATTTACTCATGTACACATTTTATAGTGTGCCATATTCTGGCTCCTTTGAACAAACAAGCACAATTTAAAAGCCTTCACTGGTTTCCTGAAGATTAAAGGACAAAGTACTCTTCCCAAGTTCATCATGGCCAGATAGGTGAGGGTTTTTTTGCTGCTTGGTTTGTTGGTTTTTTTTGGTTTTTGTTTTAATTTTTAAAATGGGAATTAACACAAGTTACACACATCCACCTACTGCAGCCCAGATCCTAAACTAATCCTCATGGCTCCGTTTCAGCTTCTCCAGTCCCTCACCTTCCTTACACAGTCCAAAATCTGCAATCTTCACAAATCCTTCAGCATCTAAAAGGAGATTATCCAATTTCAGGTCCCTGCAGGCAAAGGAGATGAAAGAAAACAGTGGCTGAAGTCTCAGGATTGCCATCCAACATTTTTTTTTGCAAGAGGCAGAAGGTGTTAATAAAGACAATAAAAACTAAATTGAGTGAAGTCTCCATTTGATTTAAATCATGCATTGTTTGGAAGATTCCCCTTAATTTATTGATATTTTCCTCTGAACAAAAGGCTCACAAAGCAGCTTGGAGCTGAGTGGGGCTAATTCATCTGGCAAAGGCCTCCCACAACAGCATGACAAATTACTTGACTACCACAGTGAAAAGGAAAGCAGGAACTTACAGGTGCCCCCCAGAATGTATTGACATGTCACAGAGGATTAATCACCTGCAGCATGCCAGATGAACTGCTTCTAGGTGACTTTCTTTACTGTGAGAGCACGATGAACATGCTGATAGCAACAGGCAGTGGAGGAAATAAAGACAGACAGAAAGATTAGAAACCCCAGCAAAACAGTGAGCTCCAGACACAGCCCCAGGAGAAACCAACTTCCAAGTTGCCAAACTTGTACTTGAGTCTCTGCTGCATTACCTATAAACAATTTTCTTCTCATGCAAGAACTGCAGCCCCAAGACTACACAGGCTGTATAAAACCTAAAAGACAGAAATAGTTATCAGGAAACATAGATGAGATTCAAGTTCAAAATTTATAGTGCCTGGAGAGTTGAGTAATTCTAACTCACTGCGCCATATGCTCCGGAAAGACATCCTCGTGGATGCGCATCATCAGATCCCCCCCTGGAGTGTATTCCATCACAAAACAGGCGTGGTGAGGTGTCTGGAAACATGCAAACATGTTCACAAGGAACGGGTGATCAGAAGAATTGACCACTTCAAATATTCTCTTCTCACAGTTCAAGCTGCCAGGATTCAAAGAACAAAAACCTCCGTGTTAAAACTTGGCAGGTAAAAAAGACTGTTTGGAGCAAGACAGGATGAAGGAGAAAATCTTTACACCTTAAGTCAGAGAAATAAAAAGTGAGGGCCAGTGCAAATATTTCTTTTATATACTTGCAAACCTTGGCTTTTAGAGTGTTCTTCAGGTGTCACTCTTACAGAAGTCAGACCCCATTATAAGTTTCCTTATTCCTGATTTTAGTTATCCGAGACTTAGGGTTGCATTT